ACGTCACTATTATAGTTAAATACGGAGCCACTTCTTCACCAGTCCGTCTGAGGATAAGGACATAAGGATGCAGCTTTGTACATTTGTTTGACAGATTCTTCTTTACAAGTTCACTATGTGCTCTCCTGAGGTAAAGGTCACTTGCTTTAAATGGCACTGCTCACCTCTGTTTACTGCACTTCTCTGGGAACGTTACTACAAAGTCTTGTTTGCAGAGACTCACTGTGGCCTACAATAACTCTGTGAGACCGCAGTGAGACGCAGTTGAAGGTCCCTCGGCAGTAGCAGCGGAGGAGGTGTTTGCATCTCTTTGAAATGCTTGTTGTTACAGATTTGTGTGTCGTCTGATGAACTCTGAAGAACACTGTTGTTTGAGCTCTGGTCAGTGCTGAGGTCGGCTCACAGCGATACAACTGCAAACTGGGGGGTTGTAGTAGTTTGACGTATTTTAAGTTATTCTTTAATACAATAAAACAAGACAAAAGCAACAATTTGAGCAGGAGTAGGTAGAAGTAAAACATGTGTCCTAAAGCTCTTTTTACAATTTTCTTCTTTGTGATTATTATTCACACTCATTACCGTTAATAGTCATCTTTTAAAAGCACACATTAAACATACTGTAGCAGTGATATGACATGGTTAATGTTGTTATTGCTATTTCTACTTCAATGTTTTCTCATTTATCTTATCATTGTTATGTATGTAAGTCCGACATAGCGCAGTGGATTAAAACCAGGAAGTAGAATAGACCAGTTGTGGCCCATTCTACTATGGAACTATGGAACCACTTCTTTTCATACACATATTTATTGTCTTTATGCAATATAGATGGATAATTACGTTATTGATCTCCCAAAGAAGGAATTCAGGTACATGCATATGTTGTTTTTAATTTGTGTATAACCCTACTTGTATTTAATAACCATTTTAAGGATTCAAAGAAAGGGAATTTAATGTTCAGTGAGTCCAAAGAAATATTTTTTTTTTTAAAGTGAATATTGTAAACTGGTGTCAACCTGACCACACACACACACACACAGCTGTTATATTTCTGATGAGAAAAACGCTATTAGCTCCACAATGTAGCGTGAGTGCAGTCCTGTTGGGGTAAAACAGCCTCCATCCTGTTTTTTTTTTAAATTAATTTTATTCCTGCAGAGTCATTTCACTGCGTAATCACCTTACTCGCCTCATGAAAATTGCAAAGCTGGTGAATAATTTAAAGGAGACTGTTGAAAATGATGTGTTGTAGGGTGTCATAACGACGGTGGTCCAGACTCGAAGAGAGGGACGTGGGAGATAAAAGGAAATCTGGCTCCCGCACTTTCCTTCAGCATTCATTTACTATAGTGCTCTAAATATGGCTTCATTGTTTCTGCGGGCGACGGTTGAATGAATATGAGGCCGACTCTTTGGGTGCAAGGGAAGGGGACGGGTCTTGGCGGTTTCCCCAAATTACATTTAAATTAGAAGGGTTTTTTCATGCTGAAGGCTGGTGCTCTGTGAATTGGGTGGTAGCTCTGACTGCCCCCCCCCCCCCCCCCCCAATCCAGAAATGGATTAAGGGGAAGAAGATCTTAACCTGAACTAGGACTGCTAACTTTGTACTGCCGTAGTCTCGTTCTAATTGTACAAAAGAGAAGAGTTTTTGGTCTTGTCTGAGTCAATGAGAGCTTTGGTGTGTCTTGGTCTTGCCTTGTCTCTTACCTGTAGTGTTAATTTATGTGTGTGTGTGTGTGTGTGTGTGTGTGTGTGTGTTAATGTATGTGTGTGCGTGTAATAATACTGGCATGCCTTTTAGTTGTGTGTGTTTTGTTCTGTATTGTGGCGTTTAGTTATTCAGTAACTTTGCTACTCTTAGTGCTTTTTAATTGCCCCTCTGGGATACATAAAGTGTGTTGAATGTGTGTTTTGTTGGAGGGTATTGTAGATTTGTGATTTGTTGTTATGTTGTATTGTAGTATGTGTTTGAATGGCGCGGAGGGGATTGGATTAAAATACGCTTGTTGCTTCGACCAATCCCTTTTCAAATCATGTACAGGTTTCTGATAATATTTGATTGCGTATGTTTTACATGTTTGAAATAAATAAAATGAAATGATACCTTTATGATAATGATACCTCTGTTGCACATACAGAACGATAATACCCCTATATCTTTTTACCTTTTTATTTCACCTTTATTTAACTAGGAAAATCCCATTGAGATTAAGAACCTCTTTTTCAAGGGAGTCCTGGACAAAAGTTTAATTTACATACAATACAGATTATAAAACAGTTACATTCATATACATGAGTTGTAACATGTAATATGTACAGAACATTTCTCCAAAATGAGCTCAATGAACTTTTTATCTTTTATATTGTGTGAGTGGTGAGATTAGATCTATTATGTGGTACCAGTAAAAAAACGTAAAAACCGGAGTGGAGTTTACATGTTCTCCCTGCGTCTGCGTAGGTTTCCTCCGGGTACTCCGGTTTTCCCTACTACTAAAAACATGTCCAAAAGGTCTGGCATGCGCCTCCTGTACTGACCCTCGCTCCCATATCTGTGTGAGAGGACAAATGCCCACGAAAGTAAACCGCTTTGTGACTCTGGTCTGTGAAAAGCGCTATATAAATAAAGATTACTTACTTACTTACTCATACTACTGGACATCTGATAGGACAATTATCCCCGTATACGCCTTGTGTATTTTAGGCAAATTAAAACCCCTATTATAAAGTTTCACTTTACAAAAAAGCAAAAAAAAGCTAGTACTGTTTAATTACTTGACATGTTTGTGCGGTACACTTCCGTCTTCATCAGAGGTGACACGTGACGGTGTGACGCGTCTCTTTTCAGCTGTTGTTCCAGGATGCGGTCAGTCTGACCACGTCCCCTGCTGCGTTGTGGTCTCTGGAGAAGTGAATCCCAAGTGTGAGCCAAGGTGAAAGATACATGGTATTTCATATGACATTGCACTTTTTTCCTCGTCTTTTGAGTGAACGAGGATCTGTCTGAGCTTCTTATGAGGTTTGATTATTGCATTGATGTTGTGTTTCCCTAGTGCTCTCTGTATCTGCTCCGTGACCCCTCGTATGTATAGTACCATACCATACATATCCGAAATACCATGTAGAACATGCAATAAAACGGCAGTAGCGGCAAAACGGCAGTAGCTCAGTTGGTAGAGCGTTGGCCTTTGAGCCAGAAGGTCGTGGGTTCAAGCCCCGCTCAAGACTTTCACCATCGACTCCCACTGACTACTGTCGTTGTGTCCTTGGCAAGACACTTAACCTCTGGGAACACCAGCCACAGTTGGGCGGCTGCGGCTGTAAAGTGCCAAACTGCTGTTGTGTCCTTAGGCAAGACACTTCACCCCCATTGCCTAGAATGAGTCTGGTGTGTGTATGAATGGTTGGTGGTGGTCGGAGGGGCCGATGGCACGTACTGGTTGCCTCGCTTCTGTCAGTGTGCCCCAGGGCAGCTGTGGCTACAGTAGTAGTTTATCACCACCGTGTATGGAGTGAATGAATAATGACACATGTGAAGCGTCTTTGAGTGTCCAAAAAAGCGCTATATAAAACCGATGCATTATTATTATTATTAAAACATACATCGGAGAAACAGGAAGCGCTTTCAGCACCAGAAGAAAAGAACATCAAAAAGAATGCGAAAAAGAAACAGCAGCGCGACTAACAAGATCAACCATGGAAAAGGCAATACAGGAAAACTGCAAAAGAGAAAATCACATCATGGACTGGAACAATGCAAAAATAGTAGGAACCGAAGAACATAAATACAAAAGATGGAAACGAGAGGCGATTGAAATCAGGAAGCGGGGCACACGGACCATCAACAGAGACGAGGGGGCTTTCACTTTGGCTCACACTTGGGATTCACTTCTCCAGAGACCACAACGCAGCAGGGGACGTGGTCAGTCTGACCGCATCCTGGAACAACAGCTGAAAAGAGACGCATCACACCGTCACGTGTCACCTCTGATGAAGGCGGAAGTGTACCGCCCAAACATGTCAGGTAATTAAACAGTACTGGCTTTTTTTGCTTTTTTGTCTTATTAGAAGAACCTTTAAAGCCTTCCATTTTAAAATGTACTATAAAAATATCTCATCAATACAACACATTGACATTTGCATGCTACAGCCAGTGTTTGATTATATAGAATTATCAATTCTATATTGATAATACCATATTAATACGACGGGTTACAAGTATTTGTGTGTAACCCTTAATCACAGGAGCAGTCGTCTGGGAGGACTGAACCTGAAAATGGCTGATTCCTCAAAAATAGATCAGAGAATCAAAACAGTTCAAAACAGGACGGGATTAAAAACAAACACATAGGAGCCACTGGTCCGTAGGGAGCAGATGACCAATGTCCACAAATGTTAATACATGTCCTGAAATGTTCCAGATTGACCCTAAACCAGACATTCACTGACACTGATACATAGAGTATGAAAACTCTATAACAATTCTATAATTATAAAGCCTACCTCTGGGGCTTTAGTGACAGAGATGTAACCACTGTATGAGGTAGATTTCAGTTCCAAGCTTCAAGTAGATAGAGTGACTCAAAAGGTGACCCACCAAATGATTGAGGAATATGTAAACAAAAGCAAGTCATCTGAAAGTCTAACTGCCTCAGAATGTATCCGTATTCAGATGAGCAGAACATAATCCTAATGAAACAATTGCCTTTTAGTGCATTTTTGTAATATTGCACTATGACAGACTGTGACGGAGTCATTGCTCTCCCCCTGTCACTAATGCTCTGGTTGTGCGCGCACTCTGGCCATACTTCCCGGTGCGAGACGCGCGCTCCCGCGCAGAGTTTTACACACCACAATTAAGCATGTTGTACTCACCGGTCCCGCTACGTAATCGCAGGTCTCCACACATCCCCTTGTTTCTCCCCTCCATAAACCACACGGTAGCAGCATCCATGGCTCGCTGCAGCTCGGGGTGCACACCGGGTTCGCGCGCGCGCCTGTTCATGCTCTCCTCCTTCCGCGTACGTAGTACCAGGTGACCGGGCAAACCGAGCGCATCTTTGGCTATGCCATTTATACTGGGGTTAAGTGCGCTTTCACGCTTGGTTTGTTTAATATTCCTTTGTTTAATGATATCTCCCATATCCATGGAAGGGAATTAAAAGGGAGGTATGTTGAAATAATAGTAATGATAATTTGAGAGGAGTTTCAACCAGAAAGGGTTGTTTTGTAAAATTATATTAACTATTTTGTGTAACGCCCATGGGAGGGGCCTGGGGCATAAGAGGGGAGCTGTTTGGGCTGTACAGGGAGTCTTTTGCCTGGTTGCAGAGAGGGCAACATCCGGCTATTGTGGTATCCTGGCATTCTGAAAGGTTATGTACACAACTTATGTACATTTGTAAATATGTACATATATTGTTTTTTTACATGTTTGTAAATAGCACTGGGGAAATAAACTGGAGAAACAGTTTTTTTTGACTGGCCATTGGTTTTTTGAGAAGTGTTCCCACAACATTTGGTGTCAGAAGTGGGATGGCCAGTCGAAAGTTGGCCCATTTCCCAGGCAAGCGAACTGGACTGCGTTCGCAGAAGACTAAAATGTCCCTTCCAAAAGAGGAAGATGTTAACCTGTCTTGGGATACAGACGAGGAGGATTGCAGTCCTGGTCCCTCTACTCGAGGCCAGCCAGTGCCCGCAGGAGTGGGTGAGGAACTATTGGACGTTATGCGCAGCTTCCTACAAGGTCAACAGAGGAGGGAGGAAACCATGATGGCCGAACTCCAAGGGCTGAGGTCTTCACTGTCTGAGCGCAGACCGGAGCCTCCCTCTGCATCATCTTCAACTTGGACCGCCGTTAGCCCTCGGATAGACCTTCCTACCCCAGCACCAAGGCAGCGGCCACCCAGTTTTTCTCCAACGGACCGGAGGCCAAGTGGGGATGGCGGCCAGTCACGGCGCCAAGACGCTCGATCCTACGGGGACCCCAAGATCCCTCCCTATCAATCCGGTGAGGATATTGAGAATTATTTACTACGTTTTGAGCGCATTGCAAGGACTTGGGCCTGGCCAGATGATGAGTGGGCGTGTCGGCTGGTGCCATTGTTATCCGGGAAGGCATTGGAGGCCTACTCGGCAATGGATGAGGACAGTGCACACTCCTATCCGGATCTAAAGGAGGCACTCCTCGCAAAGTTTGACATTTCACCCGAAACGTACCGCCGGCAATTCAGATCCACCACTGTTCCGCCTGGTGAAAATCCGGCAGAAACGTACCACCGGCTAAAGGGTCTGTATCGTCGTTGGATCCGACCGGAGGAGCACACCAAGGAGGAGATTGGAGACGCCATCATCCTGGAGCAGTTTCTACGCGTCCTCCCAGGCGATATCCGAACCTGGGTGATGGAGCATGAGCCGAAGGAGGGGCTAGCGGCTGCCAAACTGACCCAGCAGTACATCAACGCCAGGAAAGGAGCACGTCAACCAACTCCACCACCAAGGTTTCCACGCCGCGAGGGTCCAACGGTGACAGCAGGTAACCCGAGTCCGGCCGGCATACATCAAGGAACTGGTAAGGAGCTGATTTGTTTTTATTGCCAGCAGCTGGGCCATAAAGCGTCTTTATGTCCCATTCGTAAGGCTAAGTTGTCTGGGGCATGCTATGTTCCACGGTCTGAGAAACAGAATGCGACAGTGGTAAAGCGCTACAAAACAGTAACTGTTAATGGACAAACAATTGAAGCATTGTTGGATAGCGGCAGTTCTATGTCTCTAGTCCGTGAAGAGTTTGTTCCTGTTAATGCTTTGGAATATGGCAAGTGTGAGGACATTATTTGTGTTCATGGGGACAAGCACCCTTACCCTACTGCGGAGCTAACGGTAGCTATTGATGGACAGACTTACTTATTGACAGTCGGAGTTGTGGCCAGTCTCCCCGTTCCGGCCCTACTAGGCTGTGACTTGCCCATTCTTCTGGACTTATTGATGGACAATGATAACACAACCAGTGTCAAAAAGACTTTGTCATGCCCTGTGGTCACGAGGGCCCAGGCTCAAACAAAAGCACAATCACCCACTGGCCTTGACCATGGTCTGCAGGTGGTTGATGCGCTAAAGCCACAGAACCAGTGCTCAGATGCTCAGCCTTTTGCGAGTTTTGAGGACAGTGTTTTTGAGGGAGGTACAAAGGGGCCTAAAAAGTCAAGGCGTCAGCGTCGGTTTGAAAAGCGGCTGGTAGCTAAGCAGCCAGATAAGGACACTGTGCACAAGGACTTATGGGAAATACCGGGTAACATTTCTGATCTGCAAAAAGATGACTGTACTCTTAAATCTGTGTTTGCTAAAGTAGGAAAGCTACCGGTGTGTGACATTAAAGCAGGCTTTGTTAGTGATAATGATGTTTTGTACAATCTTGAGAATGGGGTAAAACGTTTGGTTGTACCGCAAATCTGTCGGCCTGTTGTGATGCACCTTGGTCATACATTGCCGTGGGCCGGTCATCTGGGACGAAACAAAACTTATCTGCGCATCAGCTCTCGGTTCTTTTGGCCTTCTATGTATACAGACGTACAGAAGTTCTGTTCCACCTGTCCCGTTTGTCAAAAAAGTTGTTCCGTTCGTAAATGCGACCGTGCGTTCCTTCAACCGCTCCCTGTCATATCCACTCCGTTTCGTCGAGTTGCTATGGACATTGTAGGACCGTTGGTTAAGAGTAGCACGGGGTGTCAGTATATTCTGGTTCTTTCCGACTATGCGACCCGTTTTCCGGAAGCGTTTCCGTTACGTACTATTACTACCCCGGCGGTTCCGCGCGCTCTGGTGCAGTTCTTTTCGAGAGTAGGCCTACCTGATGAGATTTTAACTGACCAGGGAACCAATTTTACATCACGTCTTATGCATCTGTTCCACCAGCAGCTTGGAATCTCTGCCATTAAGACGACGCCCTACCATCCCCAAACAGATGGCCTGGTTGAGCGCTTTAACCAGACGCTTAAAAAGATGTTGCGGAAGTTTGTCGCTGATACGGGCAAGGACTGGGACCGGTGGTTGCCATTTCTGCTCTTCGCCTACCGCGAGGTTCCCCAGGCATCTACAGGCTTTTCGCCATTCGAGCTACTTTATGGCTGGGATGTCCAGGGTCCACTGGATTTACTTCGTAAGGAATGGGAGAGTCCTGCCAAGTCTGCCAGTGACCAGAGTATCGTGCAATATGTGCTGGAGATGAGGGAACGGCTGGTGAAATACCAGGAGGAAGCAACCCACAACCTCACTGAGGCCCAGAGAAGCCAGAAGACCTGGTACGACCAACAGGCAAGGCATCGTGAGTTTCACCCGGGCCAAAGGGTTCTTCTTCTCCTTCCCTCGTCTAATAGCAAGTTGCTGGCCAAGTGGCAAGGGCCCTATACTATCATCCGCAAAATGGGCCCAGTAACGTACGAGGTTCACCATCCGGACAAAAAGAAGGTGAAGCAGACATATCATGTAAACCTTCTCAAGGAATGGAAAGAACGGGTGGGCCCTGTCGCGTCGCTTCTTGTGCAGCATGTCCGAGTACCAGATGGGGAAGAAGAGGACACTGGAGCGGAAGGACTGCCGCAAGCCGCAGAGCCAGTACTGGCTCATCTCACCAGAGTCCAAGCTGTGCAACTACTCCGTGTGTTCGACAACGTCCCCTCTCTGTTCGCTGCCAACCCGGGGTAAGGTACTTAGCATGTCATTCGGTACTTACGGTGGTACTTACGGTGGTACTTAGGGTGGTAACATTACGGTGGTACTTACGGTGGTACTTACGGTGGTAGATGCTTAAGCGGTGGTACTTAACGGTGGTACTTACGGTGGTACTTACGGTGGTACTTACAGTGGTACTTACAGTGGTACTTACAGTGGTACTTCTCTAGGTACTTCTAGGTACTTACAGAGGTACTTCTAGTGGTACTTCTAGGTACTTATTGTGGTACTTACAGTGGTACTTCTAGGTACTTACAGTGGTACTTAGAGGTACTTATTGTGGTACTTACAGTGGTACTTCTAGGTACTTATTGTGATAATTCTAGATACAGCTGTAACTTAGTAATTCAAGGACACTACAGTATTATTCCTATGTAGTAAATGTGGTACTTCTACATACATACATACAGAGGTCATTTGTAGGATTGTTTGACTATAAAACATAAAACAACATTATGTAAAACAAACGTCTTTATTAATATGGAATAAGTAGCACAGAAAGGACAGTATAAATACATTTAATGCATATTTCAAAACAAGTTTCAAGGACAAGGGAAACACTGCAAGAACTAGGTACCCAACCCAAGTAACAAGAATTACACATTACCAGGTACTTACCAGCCAAGTACCAGGTACTTACCAGCAAGTACCAGGTACTTACCAGCCAAGTACCAGGTACTTACCAGCAAGTACCAGGTACTTACCAGCAAGTACCAGGTACTTAACAGCAAGTACCAGGTACTTAACAGCAAGTACCAGGTACTTACCATAGGGACTGGCCCATAATAAGACAAAGGACTTTAACATAAGTACCAGTGATAACACCAGTAATTATACAGTAAGTACCAGGTACTTACCATAGGGACTGGCCCATAATAAGACAAAGGACTTTAACATAAGTACCAGTGATAACACCAGTAATTATATAGTAAGTACCAGGTACTTACCATAGGAACTGGCCCATAATAAGACAAAGGACTTACCCATAAGTACTAGTGATACCAGTAATTATATAGTATACCATGTACTTACCAGCAAGTACCATGTACTTACCAGCAAGTACCATGTACTTACCAGCAAGTACCAGGTACTTACCAGCAAGTACCAGGTACTTACCAGCAAGTACCAGGTACTTACCAGCAAGTACCAGGTACTAATTACTGGTGTTATCACTGGTACTTATGTTAAAGTCCTTTGTCTTATTATGGGCCAGTCCCTATGGTAAGTACCTGGTACTCACTGTATAATTACTGGTGTTATCACTGGTACTTATGTTAAAGTCCTTTGTCTTATTATGGGCCAGTCCCTATGGTAAGTACCTGGTACTTGCTGGTAAGTACATGGTATACTATATAATTACTGGTATCACTAGTACTTATGGGTAAGTCCTTTTTCTTATTATGGGCCAGTTCCTATGGTAAGTACCTGGTACTTACTATATAATTACTGGTGTTATCACTGGTACTTATGTTAAAGTCCTTTGTCTTATTATGGGCCAGTCCCTATGGTAAGTACCTGGTACTTACTGTATAATTACTGGTGTTATCACTGGTACTTATGTTAAAGTCCTTTGTCTTATTATGGGCCAGTCCCTATGGTAAGTACCTGGTACTTGCTGTTAAGTACCTGGTACTTGCTGTTAAGTACCTGGTACTTGCTGGTAAGTACCTGGTACTTGCTGGTAAGTACCTGGTACTTGCTGGTAAGTACCTGGTACTTGGCTGGTAAGTACCTGGTAATGTGTAATTCTTGTTACTTGGGTTGGGTACCTAGTTCTTGCAGTGTTTCCCTTGTCCTTGAAACTTGTTTTGAAATATGCATTAAATGTATTTATACTGTCCTTTCTGTGCTACTTATTCCATATTAATAAAGACGTTTGTTTTACATAATGTTGTTTTATGTTTTATAGTCAAACAATCCTACAAATGACCTCTGTATGTATGTATGTAGAAGTACCACATTTACTACATAGGAATAATGCTGTAGTATCCTTGAATTACTAAGTTACAGCTGTATCTAGAATTATCACAATAAGTACCTAGAAGTACCACTGTAAGTACCACAATAAGTACCTCTAAGTACCACTGTAAGTACCTAGAAGTACCACTGTAAGTACCACAATAAGTACCTAGAAGTACCACTAGAAGTACCACTGTAAGTACCTAGAAGTACCTAGAAGTACCACTGTAAGTACCACTGTAAGTACCACCGTAAGTACCACCGTAAGTACCCCTGTAAGTACCACCGTAAGTACCACCGTAAGTACCACCGTAAGTACCACCGTAAGTACCACCGTAAGTACCACTGTAAGTACCACCGTAAGTACCACCGTAAGTACCACCGTAAGTACCACTGTAAGTACCACCGTAAGTACCACCGTAAGTACCACCGTAAGTACCACCGTAAGTACCACCGTAAGTACCTAGAAGTACCACTGTAAGTACCTAGAAGTACCACTGTAAGTACCACCGTAAGTACCACCGTAAGTACCACTGTAAGTACCACTGTAAGTACCACTGTAAGTACCACCGTAAGTACCACCGTAAGTACCACCGTAAGTACCACCGTAAGTACCACTGTAAGTACCACTGTAAGTACCACCGTAAGTACCACCGTAAGTACCACCGTAAGTACCACCGTAAGTACCACCGTAAGTACCACCGTAAGTACCACTGTAAGTACCTAGAAGTACCACTGTAAGTACCTAGAAGTACCACTGTAAGTACCACTGTAAGTACCACTGTAAGTACCACCGTAAGTACCACCGTAAGTACCACCGTAAGTACCACCGTAAGTACCACCGTAAGTACCACCGTAAGTACCACCGTAAGTACCACTGTAAGTACCTAGAAGTACCACTGTAAGTACCTAGAAGTACCACTGTAAGTACCATGGACTTACCGGCCCGTAATGTAAAGTGTTACCGATCATTTTTGTTTCTCCCATTGTCAAATCTTATTTTAAGGCAGTCAAAATGTGCTCAAATTTGGATATATTTTGCAATTTTTTTGTGTGGCTAGCACTCTCTCACTTCTCAGCAAGAATGTCCTGGGTTCGAATCCTGGTCGGAACAGGGCCTTTCTGAGTAGAATTTGCATGTTCTCCCCGTCTGCGTAGTTTCCTCCAGGTGCTTCGGTTTCCCCTACCACTCAAAACTTCCACAATAGGTCTGAATGTAACGAGCGAATGGATGGTGTTGTGTGTTTGGCGTCTCGCTTCTGTCCTCACCGTTTGTGGAGAGAAGAGTGTGACCCTTCTCTGGAGCCACCACTGAATGTTGGTAAATAATTTTCTCTGTGACTTGTGTATATTGCATTAATATTTCAGTTTACTTCAAGAAAAACATTGTGACAGTTCATTTGTGCCATTTCCACCTCTGGGAAAGCACAAAACTTCTCTTAATTACTTCTAATTTCACAGACAATCAAATCCGTGAGAGATTAGCGATCTACCCTGGAATACGGCGCGCTCTGTCAAGCCGCCACAGGCCGTTGGAGAAACAATATGGTGTGATTTTGTTTTTGTTCATAGTCAAGTTATAAAGAGCAGAACCTGAATCACTACGGTTAATAATGTTTAGAAACTACAATAATATAAAGAATTTTAATGTCTTTGCAGTGGTTTAATACAAATACATTGTTTTATTGAGTACTCAGTCACATTTTTTACCTATGTATGTCTTTTAAAGTATGTATTCTGGCTACCTATGCTACCACCAGAGGGAGGAGTTCAATTTGTTTTGTTGAATGCTAATGTGAAGAACCAAATTTCTAGCCAAAACTAGCAGCGACAATAACAAAACAAACCTTTACTTCTGTGACATGAAAAGTACGGGAACATACAGTATAAACTGTATGTAGTTTCTGCCAGGCTTTCCATTTTTCCTTTTGGAAGATTAGAACTTCAGAGTTTCAGAGATTGCATGAGTTACATGGTTGTGACAGAAATGAATGGATCAAAACCCAACTATCTCTAGTCTATTCTTGATGAGGGGACAATATCGTAACATGGTTAAACTCTCCAAAAAGTTCATAATTGGTGGCTCCTTGCTGATGCAGGAGGGTCCTACGAGAGTGATTAAGGACATTTATGGACGTCGTTGTGATTGACGCCTATACAAAAATACATCTAATTGTATATCTACAGAAATACTGCTATAGCCAGACCTGTTAAAGTCCTTGCACTACAGTTTGAGAATGTTAAACCGTCATGTCTCATTCTGAAAACGTCCCCACGGATCCAAGCCCTCTCCTTTTAACACCGTACTCCTTCTTACTTCTACCGTCGCTGCTTTTGAATGGTCTTTGAAGAACCCGGAGAAGCCTTGAGAGCTCCACCACACGGAGAGCGGCAGGAGCGATCAAAGCTTCCGCGCAACAGATACATGCTAATTTTACACGCTAATGACATGCGCAGGCTAAATGCGCTACGACGTTAGCAGCTGGAGCGAGAACTGTACCTCCAGATGTCTCGCGCGTCCCCCGTGAGACTCTTTTGCGAGACGTCTCTATAGGCAGATGCGAGCTGCCAAAGTCCCAGCGAGTGATCCGGGTTCAGGAAACACACGGGGACATCCAGCAGAGCGGAGCCGGCGGCGGGAAGTGAGTAGAAGGCGAAGGCGGCGGAGCAATGTGGCCACATGTTTGCAGCTTGAACGATAAATAATGTATGGATTGGCACCTGTGTTGTGGATGAAATGTTTCCTAATGAGACGGAAGGCGATCTGTTTGTTTGTGTATTGACAACGTAAAGGAAAGAGAAAGAGGATGTATTCAGACTGATAAGAGGCGGGCCTTGAGCGGCTTTTGAGAGTAGTTTCTCATTCCATGGTCTACCCAAGATAAGATAAGATAAATTAAACTTTATTCGTCCCACAGTGGGGAAATGTCAGTGTTGGAGTCAGTTCTGTTTAGCCAGGGGTGCTCAATACGTCGATCGCGATCTACCAGTCGATCGCAAAGGTAGTATTGGTAGATCGCATTAAATAAATAAAAAATTACACATTCTAAACGAATATATACAAAAAACTCCGGGCAAAGTGGAGATTTTTGAAAACTCCGTTAATGCATTTGTGTGTAGTCAGAGATAACCGGAGTTTTGCGTTCTCGCACGCCACAGTACCCCCCTAAATTCCTCTGATCACTGAAGCATGGATCATACTACCTTAAAAACTGTTCGCTGTGAGATGCTCGCAGCAGCGAACATCCTCCACATCAGAGAGCAGCAAAGTGATCGCAGGGACTCACGCTCGAAAACAACCAAACCAGGACTAAACCCGGACTAAACCAGGACTAAACCAGGACTAAACCAGGGCTGAGGACGGGGTCAGTGCTTGTAAACATACGTCTTACTCTTTACTCTGAGTGTCTTCTATGACTGTAAAAGTGCCGTTACCTCTGCATCAAAGCTCCGCCCACTTCTGTGTTTTTCCCCAACGCAGGACAGGACGTAAGAGACGCACATGTTTGGAATGTTACGAATGTGATTGATAACGCAGATGTGTGGATGCAAATTATTTTATAAACGGAGGAGGGGAAATATTTGTATTTAAAAAAACCAGGCATGGCACATGGACATGGCACCACAGTCAAATGACATCTGTGTTTTACTCAGTAATGTTTTACTGACACTTAGGTGACTGCACATGCGCAAACAACCGCGCTCAGTTCAGGAAAGCTAAACCACGACAAACTTGTCAGCGAGTTACCACCAATTTTCCGGACTATGCATCCCTGGCCGATTCAATTCAGTGCAAGTCATCAGAGTAAACTCGGGTAATGACAAAAAATGTACATAGATAATTGTGTTGTGTTGTGCTATATTGGCTCATGCGGTTTTGCATGTACATAAACATACATTGTAGGTATAAAGAATATTTTTTGAAATAAATATATGATTAGCATTTTTGTAGTAGGTAGATCATTTTGACTTGATCCTTTTATAAGTAGCTCGCATGCTGAAAAAGTGTGAGCACCCCTGTGTTTAGCTGTCAATACAACTGAAGTCTCATATCGTCACTCGTTTAACTCGTTGACTTCCTGCAATTTTTGAGGATTTTCACTGATTTTTAAGACCGACAGAATCTTGTTTACTATGACTATGTGAAATCTGAAACCAGATTCTGAAAGACTGGACTGACAACTTTCTAGCCTTTGTTCTTCTTTAATCCCCAGTCAAGTAGAGGGAAGTTTGAACAAAATGACCAGACAAAAAGACGTCAATGGCAGGGAAGGAGTTAATGAACTGTTTTCCCCCTGTGTCAGTATAGTATTTACTAGGGCTGCACGATATATTGAAAAAATATTGTTATCGCGATATTGGTGCGTGTGATATCCATATCGAAAATATCTGTGTTTAATATTTTTCTCCTTTATTAAAGACAACAAAACGGACCGACACATCAAAATTCAAAAAGAACAACAAACAAACAAACAAAAAAGTATATAAATATATGCATTTAAATGCCATTAATGTTGTGCTTATTTTTTGTTATTTGTCTCATGCGTTTCAATGCAGATTGCAATTTTAGGTGAACGACAAAAATATCGCAATAATACTGTTATCGCAATACTAAACACTCATATCGTGCAGCCCTAGTATTTACCCATTATTAAAAGCTTATACAAAAGCCTCCTACTGTAAAACTCTCAAGAAAAAGTGATTCTCAAAACTCTGTGGGACTCTCCTGGTTAAATACACATCAATAAGTCGGTGTTAAAATACTCAATAAACTATTATCAGCAGATGCTTTGAGCTGGAATCTGGGGGAAAAAAACTAAAAGCAGAAAACTAAACTCTTAATTGACGGTGTTCTATGAGCCGTCACGTTGCAGTTAAAGTTGTAAGAAAGCTGTTTTCTTGCTGTGGTTATAGAACATTTCTTCCCCCTGCTCCAGATGGCTCATCACTGTCATTTGAGGCTTGTGAAAAATTCAAGTATGTTTGATTTTTTTTACAAATAAATGAACGCCGATACCAACTGTTTGTCTCCGCTCGCCTGAAGAACATGAAGAACAAGTGCAAATAAGCTTTTCAGCCAGGCGCTAACAACACACGCAGAAAAAGAGCAGTGACAGCGACATTTCACAACTGTTGGAGGACTCAAATGTCGCCGGAAAAGCACAAAGAATAAAACGTTTTGTCTCAGGAGATGGAACAGCTGCAGCGAGGATAGCCAAGTCACGTTCTCTCTGCAACTGTAATTATTTTTTGTCTAATCTTTAATAAATAAATAGATAGATAGATAGATAGCTTTATTAAAGACTTGTAGTCCAGAACAAAAAAAGACGCAAGAAACAGACAATATACAACATTAAAAGTCTCCAAATCTCTCTAATAATAATAATAATAATGTATCGGTTTCATATAGCGCTTTTTTGGACACTCCAAATTATTCCTATAACATCCCAAATGATAATAATCTTTTCGTCCAAAATAAATAAATTGAAGGTGGTAAGTGGTGTATTCTTTGGGATAAACTACAACAGTAGCCACAGCTGCCATTGGGCACACTGACAAAAGCCAGACAACCATTCACACACACACACACACACTCATTCTGGGCAATGTGGGCGAAGAATTTGACACTTGACAGCCGCAGCCGCCCCACTGTGGCACCTGGTGGTCCTAGAGCTCTCCTATCACAGTACTGCTTAGCTTCAGACGTCTGACGGGATCTGGGTAGAAAAAAAGTGTTGGTAAGGATTTTCCCCCTTATCTGATGTCCACGTTGACCCCCCTTGACCAATCCAGTAGGACCTGAGAGTAAAGTTAGTGCAATTGTAATGTTAGAGTGACTTCACGGACAGTATATAGAGAGCTGGGATGGACGAGTCAGGGCTCTTGGTCGGTGCATCTACTCTCTATGCAACATGTAGCAGGCAGGGCTCATTCTAAGACCCAGAAACTTCCATGGTCCTCTCTCTCAGTCATCTCCCCTGTTCTGTTATGTATGTATGTATCACTATGTATTCAGTGTCATTAAATGTCCTCTTTTATATCTATTTGGTTTTGGCCTTGTATGTACAGCAACGTGGTCTCATAATATTTACTGTATATCATGGTGCGACTTTGCGGTAACTCGGTGGTTGATTTTATTTTGTAAATTCCGGTCTCTTGAGAATATTTTGGAGAATCACCCACAGTTTGCCTTTCATGATGGCTCAAAAGATGTCTTCCCTTGTTTTGTCCATATGCAACACATAAAAAACAGACATTACAAACATCAAATAATCAGACAAATACAACATATGGGCACATATGTAAATTCAGTATGTGTCTGTCCCTTGTTAAATGCATAGGTTTAGTGTTAATTATGGAAATGAATGTCACATTAGAGAGCCAGTTTTTCACTTCTGTCTCTTCAGAATTTTCTTGTCACTTTCTATTACAGCCTGGGCATGCTCCATATTCACACCATGTTCAATAGCATCTGGCAACGAAGTCAGACCTTGGCATCCCACATAAAGGACTTTTTTGTGTGAACTTGACCATCCAGTTACTTATAAATGAAAGCCGTCATTCAAACCTTACATCCTGTCTTTTTTTCTAATGTTGTACCATGACTTATTAATACTGCGGCTTTGGAAACTAAACTGTGTGTGTGTGTGTGTGTGTGCGTGTGTGTGTGTGTGCGCAAGCTATTCAGGGGAAAGAAAGCAGATTTTTTTGTTGGGATAGACCAAGGTTAATTTCAACATGGCCATGCAAGGTTATTTCTTAATATCAGGGTGATGTGTCATCCAATGAATGGTGCTAAATGCCTCGGCAAACAATAAGCAAATAAAGCTGAAAAGATTGTCTCCGTAGCTGCATTTTTTTCTATATAGACTCTGTTACCGCACATATGGTACACATTTTACTTATTTTTACTTTTGCCGCAAACAAAATAACTGCTTCCTCTTCCTCATTGAAAGCTCCATGTTGAACCTGGCTAATGGTTAGATAGACAGACACATAAGGACAGTATACAGACCTGGCCTTGATCAATCCATCTCAAAAACTATATACAGGTAAAAACAATCTAACAGCTCATTAAGACTATTGAGAAGTTCTGCCTGTGTCTTTCCAACGGGAACTCTGAAGAGCACAGGGACTGGTCTCCTGCTGCAACTCTGAAAAGCACAGGGACTGGTCTCCAACTGGGACTCTGAAAAGCACAGGGATTGGTCTCCTGCTGGTGCCCAGAGTAAGACCTAAACATGTGGAGGCAGCATTTCAGATTCATGCAGCTACAATCTGGTACTGTCTTTCTGAAAATGTGAGACAGGCTCTTTTTCTGACAATATTTAAATGAAGAATTCGTCTATAACTCTTCTTTTAAGTGACAGTTTCTATCTTTTTCTTGTTGAGCCCTTTGAGATGCCTTGCGTATGAACTTGCCTTGTCTTGCCTTAAACTACACCATTTCAACCCAAATTGTATATCACACAACTTAACTTTGCACAGAATAACCCTTAAACAACATCACAACAACCCACACAAAGGCTGTGGTTAATCTGAGTAACAGTGGCACAACCTTTGAGATCCAATCGTGAACAGCCATCTCTGCTTCTTTCACCCAGGGCTGAAAAAAGGGAGAAAAAAACGAAAAACCCACATGTTTT